CATCTGAAAAGACGAACGGCTTCAAGCTTGAGTGGCAGGACTGGTTTGTTCGACGCCCCGACCAAACATTGACTGAACAATCTTTCTGGACTTCGTCCCTGTAGGGCGCCACACATACCTAGAGGCGGCTGGAAAATTCCCCGTGTCAGTCGTAAATGGTCGCACTACTGGTGGAATTCGCATCCATAGCAGTCTTGTTTTTATGTTTGCTCCTGTTTAAGTGAATCCCAAATGGACATGCATTTTTTGTTGTTCACGCAACAGAGGTCTTTAAAATGCTGTCAATTATAAGGTGGTCCAGCGCCACTCAAAAAGACGAATTTAGGCAAATTAGTATGCCTACTGACATGGTACGCCACTTGTTCCTGCGTTTTTTTGGTCTCGGTTCTTATTCAGAATCCACAGTTTTGATAGATTACAGGTGCGTATTTGGTTTATCTTTTTCGAGTTTTATTCTGTAGCGAAAAACTTTTCGAGCCGGAATATGCAAACGACATCATCTTCGAAGAGGAGGTGGAGAAGGCGCAGGTGTTTTGGACGCACTGACCAAAGTTATCGCATACTTTGGTATGTACTTTGTACCCACAAAGTCTAAGGTCATGCTCGTGGACATGCAGTCAGTGAACACGCCACTTCAGGGAGAGACACTAGAATTTGAGGAGCTTTTTACGTACCTGGGAATTTGCATTATTTCTAACTGTAGTGCAACAGATAAGGTCACTGCACAAATCTGCAAGGCTCGGGTCACGTTTGGTAGTTTGAGACAGTTATGGTATCAAAGCGGTATAACTCTGAATTTCAAGGGACGTATGTATCAGGCGACAGTGCAATTTTTTTGTGTGGCTGTGAGACTTGGCTTGTTCGAGTAGCGGAACTGTGATGTCTTCATGTGCTCGACAATCGTTGCCTCAGAATCATTGCTCGTTTGATTTGGTGTCGGAATGGCAGTTAGAAATCGAGTTTATGGCTGTGCAACGAGGACTTCCACTGAAGAATATTTCCAGCACCAGAAGCCGCGATGGTTATGCTATGTACTGCCTGTCGAGCCATCGTTTACCGAAGAGAGTGCTGTTTTCCATGCCCGATTCAGAGTGGCGGAAGCAGGGAGGTGGCCAACCCTTAACTTAGTAGATGAGATTTTTTAATCGCTAGGGTGCCGTCGGTGCTGCTTTCAGGATGGGGACTGCATGATCCTCACAGCGTCAAGTTTGAGACACTGAATCATAAAGCTGCTGATCTATGTCAGTGGCGTTCTTGTTGTCAGTTCCTATCCAGATTGCCTAAAAGAGTGTCTGGAGGTATAGGCATCTCGAAGTGATTGAAGTAGGGTAGAACTAAGTCCCTTCCATGTCCAGCTTCGTGCTATTCTTCATGATAAGACTTTCAAATAAATTGTTGTTGTACGGCAGTGAAGGAGCCGTGTTGAAGACATCTTGAGACGTCTTCAGGTGTCCTATAATCATTGTCTCAGAAGCATTATTCGTTTAGTTTGATATCGGCGAATCCGTATCGAGGCGGTTAGAAAGCGCGTTTTCGGTTGCGCAACCGCTGATTGGTACCAGTAGCGTTCTTGATGTCAG